TCTGGTTAAATTTATTCCCAAGTATTTAATCTTGTGATTAGCTATTGTGAAAGGTATTGTTTCTCTTAGTTCTGGCTCTGTATTCTTTGGAGAGAATCTTATAAAGATTCTATCAGTTACCAAGCATAATGTCCTAATCACTGTAGATTAGATATCTAGAGTATGAGAGATGAAATCTCCTAACCTTCATTTCTGAGAAGCATTACGACTGTGTGTGTTTGTTTGTTCTTCTGGTAGCCTGGATATATTCACTATTCTTTGGCAACACAATATTTTAAAGTCATTGATTCTTTTTCTAGCTTCATTTTCCATTTTGATAATTTCTCTTGAATGTCAAACAATACCATGAAAATACTATGACTTGGCCGGGCACAGTTTAGTACTTAAAGTAATATTTTACTTTTTTACACTTTTAAAAAGCATTCTACAGAAGATTTGCCAATGCAATGTGTCTGATTTATTCACTGTTGTTTCTATATGTGCTGCTTACAAATCCAAGAAAATAAAATATTTGATAATTTTGAACTTTCTACATCTGTTGTGATTAACTTATTGATGCCTTTGAACTGTGGTGCTGGAGAAAAGCATTGAATGTACCATGGACTGCCAAGAAAACAAACAGATTCATTGTAGAGAGGATTAAACCAGGCTGCTCCTTGGAGGCAAGGATTCTGGGGCTTCATCTGACATACTTTGGACATGTTAGGAGGGACCGGTCCTTGGAGAGGGACATCATGCTGGGTAGAGTGGAGGGACAGCGCAGGAGGGGAAGACCCTCTATGAGGTGGATTGATTCAGTGACTGGGGTACTCGGGATGGGTGTGTCAGAGGCAATGAGATTGGCACAGGATAGAGCAGGGTTTAGGGCTGTTGTACATAGGGTCGCTATGAGTCGCAAACGACTCGACGGCACATAACAACAACAACATTGTTGGTTTTGTGAGGATTTGTTTTAAGTTGACGTGTAATCCAGAGTAAAGACAATCGTTATTACTAAAAAGTACTTCAATTTCTCTTCACTTCATCATGCAAAGTTGTGTCATTTATATATCAGAGACTGATGTTGATTTTTCTTCTAATCTTAATTATTGTTGTAGTTTAAACTTTAAAACCTTCAATATCAATTGGACAACACAAAGAAAACAAAAATGCTTATGACTGGACCAATAAACATCATGATAAACAGAAAATAATTGTTGTCAAGGATTTTCTCTCTTTTTTTTTTTTTTTTGGTTTACATCAACATCCATAAGATCACTAATCAAAGAAATCAAATGACATATTGCAATGGGAAAATCTGTCAACTAAAACCTCTTGACGTGTTAAAGAACAAGAATGTCACTTATTGTTTGAAGCTGCATGCTGCTTTCTTGACGCTTTATACTGTTTTTCTTGGAATATGTTAGGCTGTCTCTGTTGTGTCTGCATTGGTTGTTGATAAGTCTTTATGAAACTATTGATTAGATGCAGGCTTAAAATATTTCCTTTGCTGGGAAGGGCAACTTGCTCTACTTGAGGTCCTTTTTTGGTCCTGTGCTCAGGAAAGTTAACCTTTGCTAAAGTCTTTCATGTCCTCTCTGGTCTGCAGCACAGCCCTACATGAATCTCACCTGAGTGTGACCCACCTCTCTAAAGTCTACTATTGTTCTTAGTGGTTGGGGCATGGCCCAACAACCAGGCTCCCCAACAGATGCAGTTTCTCTCCCATGGAATCATAGATAGCTCCCTTCCTACACCCTGCAATCATTTTCTCATTCATATCCAAAATGCTATCACCATTTTCCTATTTCCTCCCTCTAATTCTGATTTCACGTTATCATTTTATACAACTCTACAGTATCTTCTTTGATACTTTCTTCATCCTTCAATATTTAGGTCATTGTTATTATTGCTTGGTACTATCAATTAAGAATGTCTCACAACAACCCTATGAACAACAGACTTGAACCTTATACTTTCCTTACACAGTACTCATCATCTCTAATGCACTTGAACCCTTTCTGAAGTCATTGGGTCCATTAATCTCTTTGTGTGTCCTTCTCTCGTTCAGTGACTTTCCATCTTTCTAAAATATTGTCCTTTTCCAAGCTACATGTCTGTCTCCCAGCCACATGTCCAAAATACGAGAGAGAGCTGGAGCTTCATGATTTATGTCTTCAACGAACACCCTTGCTGTTCTTTATCCAAGATTTATCTGTTAGTTCTCTTGGCAGTCCCGGGGATATTCAGTAGCCTCCTCCAACATAAGTCAAAGGCATCAATTATTCTTCTGTTGTTCATTTTCCAGTGGCTAGATACTTAACAGATGATTGGAAAAAACATGGCTTGAATCTGGTGAACCTTCATATTCAAAATGACTTCATTGCTCTTTAGTATTTTGAGAGGTCCCTGGGATTCTGAGATAAAACTTGCCCAGTGTAGTATATCTCCTGTAGTATGATTCACGGTGCCAAGAGTGTAGACTGTGAAAATCTGTGTTGATTGTTGAGTGTTGCTTAATAAAAATTTGAAATGCTAGTATGATAATTCTGATAGGTATGTTTGAATAATTTTTATATCTTATTTTATTATTGTGCAATTTGTAATGAGAGCATTAATTCTTAAAAAAATATTAACTTTAAAATTAAATATAACAAATATTAACTAAAATAAGTTTCTGGCACAAAGTGTAGCAAAACTCACCTTGAAATATAAATAAATAATCTCAATGTAGTCATTTAATACCAAAAATGCACATATATTTTTATCTTAAAAATATATTTTGAACAAAAATAAACAGTGGAAATAATATATACAATAAGGATGACAGAAAAAGAATTGACAGTTTTGAGGCATGGTGTTGGAGAAGGGCACTGAACATCCCATGGACTGCCAAAAGAACAAACAGATATGTCTCGGAGAAGGTGCAGCCGAAGTGCTCTTTGGAGGCAAAATGATGAGGCTTTTGCTTCACATACTTTCTACATATTTCTAAGAGGGGCTATTCCTTGGAGAAAGATATGATGCTGGAAAGTGTGGAGGGTCAGCAAATGAGAGGAATATTCTCAACAAGGAAGACTGATGTGGTGACTGCTGCAATTGGCTTTTGTGAGTCAGGAAGTGTGAAGATGGTGCAGGAAAGCACAGGGTTCAGATCTTTTGTTCATAGAGCCATTGTAAGTTGTACTTGACAGCACCTGATAACAACAACCAATGTGAGGGGGAAAATGCTGTACTGAGTAATTCCACAAAGTTCTTCTGAAAGAAAAGTTCTGCCTTGAAAATGAGTAATACATTTATGTCTCAATTCATTTTCTTTCACTACTCCAAAGCTTTTTCATAACACTTTTCATCTCTGCATTTCTTAGAGTATAGATTAGGGGATTCAACATAGGAGTTACGACGGTGTAGAACACAGCCAATGTTTTATCAATGGACAAAGTGAAAGGAGGTCTCACGTATATAAAGATACAAGGGAAAAAGAAAAGGAGCACCACGGTGATGTGGGAGCCACAGGTGGACAAGGCTTTGCGCCTCCCTTCCTGACTCAGGTTCTTCAGGGAGCGCAGAATGACTGCATAAGAGATGAGTAACATTATAAAGATAACCATACACATTCCTCCATTATTGGCAATCACAATAAGGGCAATGATATAGGTGTCTGTGCAGGCAAGTTTTAATAAGGGGTACATGTCACAGATGAAGTGGTCAATGACATTGGGACCACAGAAGGGCAGATTGTAAACTAACAGAAGCAGAACGATGGCATGCAGAAATCCCCCAATCCATGTTAACAGTAGTAGTAGAACACATACCCGTAGATTCATGATGGTCATATAGTGCAGGGGTTTGCAGATAGCCACATAGCGGTCATAGGCCATGACCACCAGAAGCAATATCTCAGCACCACCAGAGAAGTGTCCTACAAAGAGCTGGGTCAGGCAAGCTTTGAATGAAATGGTTTTTCTCTCATAGAGTAAGTCTATAATCATATTTGGAGTTACTGTAGTAGAATAAAAAGCATCCATAAATGATAGGTAGCCAAGAAAGAAGTACATAGGGGCATCGAGTGCTGGACTGACCACCACAGTCACCACAATGAGGAGGTTACCGACCATCGTAAAGACGTAGAAGAGTAAGAATAAAACAAATAATACTCTCTGACCATGGAGACTCTGAGTGAGCCCCAAGAGGACAAACTCCGTCACATTGTTCCTTGGTTCCATATGTTCATCAGTGTGTCCTTAATTCAGAATTCAGGACAAATTTGTCTGTGAATATAATGATTACAAACAACTTTTAGAAGTCTTAGACTAATTTTTTTTATTCAGTTAACACTGTCCAAAAATGGTAAGAGTACAATGCTGATTAAAAAATGGTCCTAAACCTCTGCTTATTCAAACAAATTATTAATTAAATGAGGCAGTGACACAAATTTTCAACCTGCAAGAATATAAAGTTATCCTTATAGGTAGTACTAAAAGGAAAATAAAACAGAAAGATGTAATGTCAATGTAATAAATATGAAATAATTTGAATATTGAGACATAAAATAATTTAATATTTACTTTAAACTAGGTAAAGTAACGATTTTCTGCATTCTAGAAGTGATTCTTCTTACATAGTAACTTAGACCCTATTCAGAAAAATTTTGTAAGTCTATAATTTTAAGGAATTTTAGAGTTACAGGAAGTATAGTCACTAGACAAAAGAAACATATATTTGGAAAAATGCATACATTTTAAAGAACATACATCATGTTAATATCTAAAATAGAGAAGGAATTCTAACTAGATAGCCAGCAAAAGACATAAGGGAAATTGAAAGAATTTGTTCAAATTTGTATTAGAATTTGTAAATAAACTAGAAGAAATATTGTTCTCCCAAGCAGGCAATAAAAAATTTAAAATAAAAAAAAAGACACAATCTAATAGAAAAGTGTACAAAGAGTTAATAACTGATATAACATGATGGCAGAATTTATCTAAAATTAGCAAAATGGAAAATAATATAACAGATAATACTTTACACTCCTTCCCTAAACATCTCATTTCCATCAAGTCAGACTGATTAAAAATTGACCCTCCAGCAGGTTTTCAGAGGAGAAGTTGATTGTCTCCTTTATACCCTTAGCAGCTGGTAAATTCATATCTCCTGGATTTGTATTGGTATCACAACTCTACCCACAAGACTACCAAATACATGTATATATATATGT